CGTGTAGTAATTTAATTGGTGTTTATTCACGTAAACGGTTAATTATTCACGCTGCTGTAAAATCTGTTTTAAGATATATCATAATGGATGTTGTCGTGTAGATTGTGATCAATGCACGACTCATTTTTAATCCAAAACATATAGCCAATACAAATAGTTAGGAGAAAAGAAAAACAAAAAAGTTTGGGATTCCATCTGCGTGAATAATCATAATTCGTACGTGAATAAGCAGCGGATTCCATTTACGTAAATAATCACCAAATAATGTGAACGAACGCGAAATGCGTGAATTTAAGTATTGTGACTATTTAAGTGCGACCAAACCCAATACATTGGGGTCCACTTTTACTGTGTTACCACCTTTCTCTCTCTCTCTCACCTATATATTTGGGGATTTTTCCAGAAATAGCACCTTTTTAAAAAAAAATTACAAAAATAGCACCCATCCCATAGAAATTACAAAAATAACACGCTTTTTTTAAAACCGCACCTCCAAGGTGCGGTTTGACTGTGAACCGCATGCCCAAGGTGCGGTTTAAGGTTCTGGGCCAAAACCGCATCTTGGGCATGCGGTTTCAGGTCTGACCTAACAGAACCGCATGGCCTAGGTGCGGTTCTTGGTCTGACCTAGAAAAAATCACACTTTGGGGATGCGATTTTGTTTCTCCAAAACAAACCGCACCCTCAACATGGCCTTGGATCAGTTTTAAACTCTCTATGAACATCTCAATACCACAAAGTCTAAATCTAAATATTCTTTCAGTTAATCATGAACTTGAGTTTATCAAAATCTAATCCACTCCTTCTAAGTTGGAATTCCCAACCCCCAAGCTCATTTTTCGTTCATTTGATCCCACATAACCATGATATTATACCGCTAACTAAAATAAATCAAAGCATTTTACGAAAAGAAACTGAACCGTGAACTTTACCTGCTTCCAAATTCAAACACAATTTCTTCCTCTCACCACTTCCCTTCCCAAACCCAATATAAACTTTTACTTCAAGTTCACACCCTCAACTCCCAATGTGTTGCATGAAAGCTTAATTTTAGCAATCATTATGCTTGCAATTAGATTAATGGACACCAGCAAGCGCCAAAATTCCACCAGACGATGAGTTGTCTTCACTTTGAGTTTTGTCATAAAACTACTGGCCTGAAATGTTTATCAGTTTGGAGGCCATATGATGAGCAATACTGAATCAGTTGCAGCGAAGTTACCGGTTACAGTAATGACAATGTGAAACATGTGTTAACAAACGCATATATGGGTGACTTTTATGGATTGACATTAGAATGATAGGATTGGACAATGAGATCGTCCTTAGTTAAGCGACATGTAAATTGGTTCATTTGGTATGGAGGACACAAACCGTTAAAATTCTAAATTATTTGGGTGAGTTTGTATTTAGTGTTTTCAAAATCGTGGTATATGAGTTAGGTGATTAAAATATCTGAACCCAAATGAACCGAACCACGTACACCCCTAGGACGAGTTTCAAAACTTAGTATTGAACGAGACAAAGATGTTCAGAGAACCAGTCCCCTATAGTTTGCACAAAGATATGATTGCTTCACTATAGTTCTGGAAATTAATGGTAATGTAAGAAATTCTATATCGCTTCTACATATTCAATACTATAATTCGATATGAAATATTCAAACCAACAATATTTTGGTTGCAAATTTATAGTTATCGTCTATTTATAAAATAGATAAAATTTTAAATTAAGTATTAAACTATAATTAAAATAAAAAGTATCAAAATCGAAGTATCAAAACACCAAATAAGTAATTACGGAATATATATTGGGCTAGCTAACTGTTGAAAAGTTCTGTGATTTCACAAATTAGCTTCGTATATAATTTTAATTTAAAAAAATACAACAAATCTGCATAGTCTGATTGATTTTAAACCTTCACTTTGTTTGAAGTGACCATGGTTCAAATCTCAATATGTCTATCTTTTTCTGTAAATAAATAAAAAATACAGATAATTATGAAGACAAAAATGTCTTTCCTAATTTCCCTTTCATTGCAGGAAATTTGAAAAGGGAGATTAAGTTTCAAATAATTAAATCATATACCCTAAATCTATAGAGCGTAAACCCTAATATCACATATACTAAGAACATAATCAATGATTCTGATTCGCCAAGATGTATACAACATACCATATGCACTGTATTAGGATTTAGAGAATTATGATATAGGGTTTAGTTACGTGATTAATCTATGGTCTAGATAATGTTATTTAACTAAGGAGATGCAATAACCCTCAATCCATTAAGCATACTATAGAATTTCCCATGTATATACACATACCATAGTTTGATAAATTTAGCCAATGATAATTGGCTCATTTGTCAATGGTATTTAGTCTTTCAATTATATGCTTATAATTGTCAACCATTAGGGAAATTGTTAGCCAATGATTTTTGGTCATTCACTTATAGCATTGAAAATGTCTCGTTACAAAACCATAGATCACAAATGTCAAATTTATGTTTTGAAATAAAATTTTGTATATCACTTTTGTAAATAATCATTGTATTCCTACAACTACAAAGTCATGTAACCTAATAAATGAAAAGTTGTAAGACATATATAAACTCAAAATGTACTATTTGATTCTTGGGTAGAGGAACTCACTTAGTTGATTCATAAAGCTAGGTATATCATGATGATTCACTTTGTAAATAATTACAGTTATTAATTAATTTGATGATTGATTGTTGAGGTGGATCGTCCTATGATTTTGAGATATTTTAGTATTTTCTATCTTTAATTCAAAAAATACATAAACATTGTTGTAGTCCAGTTGATTAGAGATATTGATTATCAATCTGAAGAACTCGAGTTCAAGTCTTTGTAATGACATTTTTTTCTCGTAAGAACATTTTTTCTCGTAAGAAGATATTTAAGTTCTAAGTTGAACTTACAAATATATTTACCACTAGCTACAATTACGGAGAGCGCAAGGAATTTGAAATGCTCAAAATCTCCTGAAGTACTGCTATATATTATAGAGGGATGTGTTGATTCTATTGTGTGTACTTAAGTAGCGAATCCATTGTATGTCTTCAAAATTCAAATAACACGAGAGCAATGATCGGATACTACAAGTCTACACCTTAGATTGTTGGATTGAAGTTTGATACATAGCAACGTTATATCTAAATTCGTCGAGAACCAAGATTTTTTTATTTGATATAGCAACGTTGTATCTAAAACCATCGAGAATCAAAGATTTTATATAGCAACGTCATATCTAAAGCCGTTGAGAACCAAGGATCTACATCTACACTATTTATAATAGCTGAAAAGTAAAACCGCCACCTCAATTTCAAATTTCGTGGCCTGAGAGCGATTCTAGTAAGGTCTATTTAGTAATTGCACCTCATTTATTTACATATTTAAGAAGTGCAGTAGTAGGATTCGAACCATGGTCACTCAAATAAAGAAGAAACACTTAACCAATCAGACTAGATCAAATTTGTTATCGTGCTTTAAATTAAACAAAACTCATTGCTTTAAAGTCGAATGAAAAAATTACAATCCTCATTTCAAATTTCGTGGACCGAGAGCGATTCCAATAAGTTCCATTTAGTAATTGTATATCATTTTTTATATTAAAAAGTTGATTATTAAGATTTGAAATCATGTAACTCAAATGAAGAAAAAGTATTATAAGTTTATAAACAACTACACTACAAAGGATAAATCTATATCACGCATATAAAAATATGAAAGTAAAAGTAAAAGCAACTAAACTACATTGTATTTGCTGCAATTTCTTTAATTAAACACTAGATACATATTCGATATATGATGTTTTATATTTTATTTGAAGTTAGTGATATCTTACAAAATGAAATTAATCCTGAAATCAAAACTCAAGTAACAGTGATTAGATTATTAAATTTTTAATTGTACCAAGGATTGAAAAGGTGTAGCGGAAAAGTCAGCGGTAAAGTATTTTATGCGGAAACCATGGTTTAATTGTGGTTCAATCGTTTCATACCGCTAAATACCGCCTACTGATTTTGCTTTCATTATGAGATTTTTCTGGTTCATGAACCGCCGATACAGTATGGTTTTCAATACTTGAAAAATACATGCATAACCAAAACGTCAACCTTTGTGACAAAAGTAGTCAGTTTTTATACTACAAATATAGTCATTACATACATGAAATATGTTAAACTTAACATCACCATCGTACCTATGTTGACTACATAAACTGGATACAGTAACATGATATTTTTTGTGTTAACTTGGAGATTGTTTTGCCTCTTATGCTAATTGACCTAAATAAAAAAGAAAGCAACAAAAAGAAGGGAATATTTACAAACAAAAAAAAAATTAAGAGAGACAAATGAATAGTCACATACCCTCTCCTTCCAACCTCAATTAATTAATGGAAATATGATATGGTTTGCATGGGATCTCTTTCAGAAGATGTCAGGTTGGTTGTGATATTGTTTTTTTTATTATGGAAATGGATAGCTAGGATCCAGTGGGGTATTGATATCTCCAATATAGGAAGGATAATGTGGTTCTTTTAATAAAAGATAATCTTGTATGGATTAATATGATATCGAACAACTTACAACCTGGTATACAATCAGTAAAGGAAAACAAAAGAGTACATGTAGTCGGATATAAAGAAATGGTATTTCTAATCATCAAGTGCGCTACTCGATTGCTATTCCGCGACTTACAAATCGTACATTAAGACCATTATAATTTGCTAGCAAACCACGAACTTCCTCAAGAATGGCGCTCCAAAGTGATAATTGTCTTGTACATCCGCCTTATTTATCTTATAAAAACCGAAATACAATTATTTATGTTTATTCAAATCTTTTATTTTCTTTAAAAAAAAAGATATTGCACTTTCTTGCTTTCAATTATTGATTTGAAACGCATTAATTGGCGTGCCTCGTTGTACCAGTCTCGCCTATAAAATGGCCTGGAAACCGCAGCAACTACACATCCAAAAACAAGCAATAGCTCTTTGTAATTCCAAACATGGCTACAGATTCGACTTTCCTGGCTCTCATCATACTGTTTCTGGTACGTATTAATTCATTTTCCAATGTCTTAATATGATCTATGTATATATCTTTCTTACCTTTTTTCATGTAATTAAATTAAAATATTAAATGCATCTAATGACATAAATTTCCTCCTTGAAGGTAGCCCTTCAACTTTCATAAAAGTACATGTAAATTTTTATAATAAAATTGAGAACTAGATACGATTTTAACCTTCGTTTCTGTTTATAACGGTTCCAATTCTTTGCATTTAGATTTTTTTTTTTTAACACCCCTCATTAGAACTTCTAACTTCGTCATTGTAAGTTTTCTGACGACTGTGATGCGGATGAATGTAGTTTAATTTACAACTAGCACATATTAATTGAGGGGAAAGAATCTCTTTGAAAATTCAAACCTGCAAATCCTCAGAGATGGTAAAACTCGAAATGTTGTAGATTTGATTTTGTTTTGTTGACTTTCGTCTGTCTTAACAAAGTGTGATTGTGGAATATTCTTGAATCGTGCACTTTTTTTTTTCATTTTGTATTTCTTTGATCATACAACAACGTTAATTATGATGAGTATGCATGCATGCAGGTGATGGCACGTAGCGGTCCCACAAGTAGTGCGAGGAAAGACAGAGCCGGAGAGTACTGGAGAAGCGTCGTCAAAGACCAGCCTCTGCCGGCGGCGATTCAATCCCTCCTTGTCGTCGAACCGATGGAAGAATCAACCGGAGCAGCAATAGGACTCGCCGGCCATCACAACGGAGCACGTGCTTGTGATACCGAGACTACTTCCGCCGTCGTCAATGACAAAAAAGGCCATGTGATGAAATTCACGGAGGAGATCGACCAGCAACCTCAGCTCACCAACTACGACAACGGTCTCGTGTCAAGCAAGTTTGAGAAAAGCATCGAGTCGGAGCCTCAGCTTACGAACTACGACAACGGGCTCGTGTCAAGCAAGTTTGCGAGAAACATCGAGTCGGAGCCTCAGCTTACGAACTACGACAACGGCCTCGTGTCAAGCAAGTTTGCAAGAAACATCGAGTCGGAGCCTCAGCTTACGAACTACGACAACGGCCTCGTGTCCAGCAAGTTTGCGAGAAGCATCGACTCGGAGCCTCAGCTTACGAACTACGACAACGGTCTTGTGTCAAGCAAGTTTGCGAGAAGCATCGAGTCGGAGCCTCAGCTTACGAACTACGACAACGGGCTGGTGTCAAGCAAGTTTGCCAGAAGCATCGAGTCGGAGCCTCAGCTTACAAACTACGACAACAGTCTCGTGTCAAGCAAGTTTGCGAGAAGCATCAAGTCGGAGCCTCAGCTTACGAACTACCACAACGAGCTCGTGTCAGGCAAGTTTGCGAGAAGCATCGAGTCGGAGCCTCAGCTTACGAACTACGACAACGGGCTGGTGTCAAGCAAGTTTGCCAGAAGCATCGAGTCGGAGCCTCAGCTTACAAACTACGACAACAGTCTCGTGTCAAGCAAGTTTGCGAGAAGCATCGAGTCGGAGCCTCAGCTTACGAACTACCACAACGAGCTCGTGTCAGGCAAGTTTGCGAGAAGCATCGAGTCGGAGCCTCAGCTTACGAACTACGACAACGGTCTCGTGTCAAGCAAGTTTGCGCAGGAGTCGATCGCCATGGTCACAACAATCTGAAGTTCGTGAAGCGATCTTGATCGAGACACACCAAGTCACAACTGCAAGCTTACACTGATGGTATTGGGCGTGGGCTTTTTTCTTAATTTCTAGCTTTATCTTCCAAGTCGTTCGAATAATCGAGACTGTCAGCTTACAAATACCTTGTTTGTTGGCTGGTCTTGAAAGTTCTGGCGTGTAATTTGTTCAAGGGTTTGCATGCATCTTCACTCCCAACTTTCTGATGGGTCGCTATGTACCGTACATACTGGTATCATACATCGCTTCCAATTTCTCCTTGTGATATAGTTGATTGAAGCGTACGTGATTGCAAAGAAAAAACTGTAATGGCAAGGGATGTCTGGTTATATCATTAGAAGCCTGGTCTCGATCTGGCCCAGAAGCAAAAGAAGAACAGATGCAGGTTGAATCTAATGATAAAAAGTCAAGGATTTTGTTACGGCGAGTTGGTATTAAATGCAAGCATTTTTTACCCTGTCACAAGATAAAGGTAAGTTTTGATAATTACAAAAAAATAAGTTTCTACGTATGCTTATAAAATAATGAAAGGATCGATTGCATCACACCTTGATGAGGTGATAATATAATTGTACTTTGCCATTGCACTAAACCTTTTTTATGTTATTTAAATGCCACAAAATATTTTGAAAAAGAACATACCTAATTTCAACTCCAGCTTTCCGCCACTAACTACAAGCAGAGCTACTTTTAATAATCAATTAGATCTCCCCGGGACAGGTTACGGTCATTACTACTTTGTAGTAATCACCGTGGTTACTAAGGGTAAATTGGGTATAGAAAAATAAATTATATTAATTAATTTTTTAATAAATTACATTTTAGGTAGTTACAAAAATCTATTAATTAAAATTCTCTCTTTCTCTCACTTCCGTGATCTCCAGCCAGATTTCCTTTCCATATTTTTCTCAATCTTTCTGCAAAAAAAAAAAAAAATCAGTACCAATTCATTAGACAAACTCTACCACTTTGAAAAACATCAATACCATTGCAGAAATAAATCTATACCAATACACGAAAACTACCATTGCAGAAATAAATCTATACCATTACACGAAAACTACCAATATAAACAATCTATACCATAAACAATCAATACCATTGCAGAAATAAATCAATACCATTACACGAAAACTACCAATATAAACAATCTATACCATTCAATTTACGAAAACTACCAATACAAGGACTATAGAAAAAAAATCACTACCAATATGAGGAAAAAAACACTACCATTGCGAAAAAACAATACCAATGCGACTAGGGTTGATGGGGGAACTTCGCCGGCGCAAACCCTCTTTTACCGATTCACCCCGACGAGGCATACGTTTTCACAAGAGACTCTGCCGCTTTCTTCCCTCGCACAAAAATACCCATATATAATCGGTGCCAATTTGGAATTGGGATGGAGGAAAATGGTTACGAGTGGGATGGAAAGGAATTAAGAGTGGGGATGGAGTCTAAAATGGCGCCGGGAAATCATGGAGTCTAAAAGGCCGGAGGGAAATTCCATCCGCCACGGTTACGGCGGCCGGCGATTGAAGCGGAAGGGGAGGAATACAGTAGTGATTGAAAAGGAAGGAAATGAATAGGGTTATTAAGGGTTTGGAGAGAATATATGAAAAATCTTATTTTAGGGAAGGTAATCAAGTGTGGTCATTATTTTCGTTCCAAAATTATCCCTATTTAATAATGACCATCAGTTTAATAATCCTGAGAATGGAGAGTGGAGATGTAGGTAGCCACTATGGCTACTTAAAAATCAGTAACCATCTTAACTCATCCCGATCTGGGATCCCCAGTTGATCTACAAGAAAGATTAATTATATTCAACAGTTGACAAGGGCGGAGTCCGAAATTCCAATGGGGGAGGCTAAAAATTTACACACAGAGAATTCGAACTGACAAGAGAGGGTTAACGCCATATCAACTTCTATATTTTGTCAATTTATTACAAAACTTGCATATAATTCTACATTATTTTAAGAGTTGAGAAGGGGTTATAGACTCTCCTACCATTAACGTAGCTCCACCGCTGAGCGTCGATCTGCTCCCTACCATTAATATAATCACAAGGACATGTTGTTTAAGTGCATGTGGCAAAAGGACATGACACGACAGTTCCCGTGCAAAGCACGAGGGGCACCCACAGGCCACACCACAGCTATCTCTGAGCGTCTCGTCGTTGTATTGATGGAACGGAATCAATTAAAACTGTGGGGTAGTGGGGTCTTCAAAATTGCAGACGGTACGTAGATTATATAACTTATTTATTCACGCCGTATTGGTGTTTATTCACGTAATAGTGGTGGTGGTTATTCACACAAGTATCGACCAGTGACTATTCATGCATTTAGCGTTTATTCATGCATATTATTATTTAATCCAGTGTTATTAAAGTCGAGCCGAGCCGCTCGGCCCGACCGGTAAAACCACCACCCGGTCAAAAAACTAGCTCGTAATAGTTTAAAAGTCGCTCCGGTTTTATGTAGCGGTTGGCGAGCGGCCGAGGCAGTTAACCGTTCGAGCCGATCGTCTGGTTTTTGCCATTCAGCCACTAAATTTAATTAAAAAAATTGCAGAAAATTGAAAATTGGAATAAACCAAAAACGTTGGGCTCTCAAACTGAATCCTTATTTCCATTTCACAATTTCGAAGGAAAGAGATGTGCTCTGATTAAGAAATGTCCACTATTTATACTAATAACGTTTATTAGATACCGATTTTTAAACGGTCTAATGTCGATTGGACCACTAAAGTGCGAGCCGTTCGTATTACCTGGTCATGCTCTGGTTCAGTTATGATAACATTCATTTATTCACATAGTTTTAAAATCAATTTTAAATTATATCAGTTAATATTCTCATTGTATAGATTATGGCAACGCTTCACGCCATAATAACAGTACTGCCGATGTTTGCACTGACCATATGAATATGTATGAAGACAAGAACCAATAATTCAAAAATAATTAATACCTTTTTATCTTTTTGCTGAATTGAGGGGCAACTATCCAAATGTAATGGTGCATGTTCTTCACCTTGGCATATCTCAAGCCAGGGGCCGAATGTATTGTTTTTTCCTTGGCTTTGTTTTTGTAAGGAAGTGTGGGTTATGTATCATGCACAAACTCTCGACAACTCTGAGTTGTTAGTACCCATTGGTTTATGAAGTGACATCAACGATGATTTGTTCTTGAAGTCACATGTTTAAATACTTACGATCTCCAATGTTTTTTTTTTTTTTGACAAATACGATCTCCAATGTTAACCCATGTCTTAAACACATGATATGGTGAGTCTCTGACACTCTCTGCAAACTTCAATCTCGTAAGTTGGCTTTTGTTTGAAAGCCAAAAATTTTGTAATAAATAAGAATATGACTTGCACTTTAATCGTGAACCGAATATACGTCTTCGAATATCACGAGCGCAATGACACTACGAGTCTACAACTTAGATTGTTGGTTTGAAGTTTGATATATAGCAACGTCATATCTATAACCGTTGAGAACCAAGGGTTTTATACTAATTATAGGGCTTTAATAAAAAATAAAAAAAGTAAAAACATAGATCACCATTATCCTAACAGACATTATTTTATGTATGCGGGAGATTGAAGATAGATTATGTCGAATTCCTGCCTATTCTCTCAATTAATTAATGACAATTGCATGATGATTTACATTATTGGCTATCTTCTTTTGATCAGAAGATAGCCTATTATATATATTGTTGAGGGCCTTGAGGTCGATCGGTTGGGATATTGGATGATCGATGCCAACTTGCAACCTCTACTGTAATAATTGAGCACCGTACAGTTCCCAGAAACCAGCAATTTCCATGCAGAGCACGATGCTTTCACTGAACAGTAGACTGTCTGTCCTTTGTATAGAATTATATCGTCCTTGTGTTTTTGGAAAATTGGAATCGAATCAGTTAAAATGGTGGGATAAAAATGATGACAGAGTATGGGGCCATGAAAATTGCAGACGGGATTGTTGACGTCATAACAGCAGTGGTTATTCATACAAATAAACGGTAATTGTTATTCGTGTAGTAATTTAATTGGTGTTTATTCCGTAAACTGTTAATTATTCACGCCGCTGTAAAATCTGTTTTAAGATATATCATAATGGATGTCGTCGTGTAGATTGTGATCAATGCACGACTCGTTTTTAATCCAAAACATATAGCCAATACAAATAGTTAGGAGAAAAGAAAAACAAAAAAGTTTGGGATTCCATCTGCGTGAATAATCATAATTCGTTCGTGAATCAGCAGCGAATTCCATTTACGTGAATAATCACCAAATAACGTGAACGAACGTGAAATGCGTGAATTTAAGTATTGTGACTATTTAAGTGCGACCAAACCCAATACATTGGGGTCCACTTTTACTGTGTTACCACCTTTCTCTCTCTCGCCTATATATTTGGGGATTTTTCCAGAAATAGCACATTTTTAAAAAAAATTAAAAAATAGCACCCAGCCCATAGAAATTACAAAAATAGCACCCTTTTTATAAAACAGCACCTCCAAGGTGCGGTTTGACTATGAACCGCACGGCCAAGGTGCAGTTTAAGGTTCTTGGTCTTGGTCTAGGTGTGGTTTAAGGTCTGACCTAACAGAACCGCATGGCCTAGGTGCGGTTCTTGGTCTGACCTAGCAAAAATCGCACTTTGGGGATGCGGTTTTGTTTCTCCAAAACAATCCGCACCCAATGCAGTTAAAAGCGCGATTCTACCTAGAAGCGGGAAATGGGTAAAATCGTAAAACGTAGAATCAAAGCGTAAGTTTTTGACGCACCCTCTAAAATAGCTAAAATATGTTAAGTATGTGAGTGTGTAGATTTTAGATAAGTGAATAACTACATGAAATTCATAATTAAAATATAATATCTAACACATAAACTAATTTGTGTTGACTCAAAAGTAGAGAAAACTCATAACATCTTAATAATAAGCTCATAAACGTAGATCGTAACTCGTAAACGAGCTTGAGAATCCAAATTCTCATAAACTGGTTTGAGTTTACATAATTACATACGATCAATTACCCATAAACTTTTATCGTAACCCAGGTAAGAGCCACAGGTGAAGATTAAGGGAGAATACTGATAGAAGGTTAGCAGCTGTTGAGAATACCATTAGGTGTCTTTTCAACCTAATGTGAAGCCCTATCTCGACACTTGTTGTAGAACGAGTGATGATACATGTTTTCCTTTTTTATTTTTTGCTGATATGTCTCTAAAATAACATCATTTTAGGCCAATTAGCACATTTTTATGAGATGATCAAAATCGTATAAAAACGC